TGTTTAAAATATAACATTTTACTTTAAATCTTAATAATATACCTACATAAGTAAATATAAATTGACGCTAAACTTTACGTGACGTTCACTAAGCACCTACCTACATCTTACTAATAGGTTTATAACTGAGAAACTGACCCATAACCTAGGATTTTTTTAAAGTATATCATACATACCTACCTAATAGGATCTTTAAGAAACCGAAAAAATCTTTTAATACAGTTTATTCATATAGTTTTTTGCTGCACAACTTTGCCCAGACATAGTAAAACACTTAAAAGTTAACAAATTAATACTGGGAAACAACTACTATATAAAAAGTGTCAAAAATTATCTATAATTCTAAAAAAATAACAATAACTACATAATACAAACATCACAAACAAAATAAATTTAAGATACCCGCTACTGATTCCGAGCTGCTGCAACTTGTTTGTTTTTGTCGATATAAACGACGACAGTGACGCCACTGGCTTGATTGTGAGGTTGGACCCCAAAATGGCGGTGTGCGCGTAGATGTGCGCGTAGCGTTGCCGTCAAGACAAGTTAGCCTGCCGATTGTTTCTTATGCCGTGATCATGGCGACTTTGTGTCAAAACGTCAACAAATATTTACCGCTGAAAACGAATATATTGACACTTATATTATTTGTATATACAATTTTTTACCATACATCGTGGCATTTTCAACTTGAAATTGAATAACTAAAACACTTTAAATTGCTAATAACACCAACAAATAATTCAAAAAACAGCGGTCCATAAATGATTTACTTACGCGGAGACAAGCATAGAATAGAAATTTTGGAGCAATTCGGGTGGCGTTGTGAACACAATGATTTTTAATTGGTGGGCAGGGCTGGTATATCTAAGGGGATCGCGACATAGGAGTCCATTTTACCAATATAAGAAAAAAAATCAATGTCATTTCTTAAATGACATTCCCATTATAAAATGCCCATCCTAATCCTAATCCGTCCTCCATGATGGCCATATTTTTTAGGATAAAATGTTTCAATTTAATAAATTATTAATCTCAGATGTACATAAAATACGTCTGGCAAAGTAGATCACTTTCAATTTTGTGCTGTTTTAGTTTTGTTTATTTTAAAAGGTAATTAAAGAGATGAAGACAATTTTCTTATAGATGATGCATAACAAATTATTGCTCCCTTTTTTAGAGCTCCAGTCCCTTAAGTCTATTTATTTTAGGTCTTTTTAAATTGTTGGTAGGTATTATTCACTTCATTTGTATGTTTTTAGTTAATTTAAATAATTTTGTGTAATATCTTGGGATTTGTTTTCTATACATTTTAGCATGTATTTGTTGTCTACATCTTGAAATACCTTTACAACAGAGGTACTTTCCTAAAACTGGCCGAAATTTGAAACTGAATACAGTTCTTAGAGAAAATTTCCAGTAAAAAATGTCTGCATGCAGAATAACAGTAGCATAGATTAACAAAGCTGACAAAAGAGTTGGACAAACCTTTGTCTAGCTTTCTTAATATTTCAGGACAATAGTGTTAACAGCAGACTACAACAAAAACATCCAAAGTTTAGTAATCAAGCAAAATATTCGGGTATCTATATTTTTATTCAAAACTTTTGTGCTTCTACTCCAATACTAACCATATAGAAGCATATGCATTTGATAGTATTTGCAAGATTCGGATCAAATGTACCCACAATTTATAAAGATTATTAAACTAAAATAAAACATTTCAAATAACACCTGCTTTTATGTTAAATATGATTTTATTAAATACATAAATTAGTCTCAACCACACATTTTTTTTTGTTTTTACTTCTAGTGTAAAAGTGACTACTAATTCAGTCTTTCAAGTTTATTATTTATAGAGACCAGCTACTACAAAATATCTTATTGATGATAACTAATTTGTCTTTAATAATGGTTTTGCATTTATTAACATTTTACAGCACTTTGTTTATATGAAACCTCTATTTAACTCTTAATTAAATCACATTTAAATCAAGTAATTACATTTTCATATTCAACTTATGTATTCTTATTAGAACTTGGTCACTTTTTTTTTACTTTGAATCTTTTGACTGTGGTAACAGTCCATTCACCAAACCACAAAGTCACTTAAAAATGTTGAAAGAGAATGTCATAAAGGTAAAATTCCTTCTTCTATCATGTTTTTCATGCAATTTTAGGTTGTAAACGTTTTGTCCAACACCTTTTTTACAATTTATCCCAAGCAACACTATGAAAGATTTAAATCCTGGATTTACAGCATTCAGTTTTGAGATGGGGCAGACACGAATTGAGAACCAAAATGAAAATATTAAGAAGGGTTTATTTTTGTACCTGAAAATATGACACGAATTGAGGACCAGGCTTCTGAGAAATAATTATAGTAAGTGCACCGAATTGCGGATTAGGGATTAAGGTTGTAATGATGATTCATTGCGTTAACGAGCATTTTATTACTTTACTTTCGAAATTCTAATATATATTTGAAGTGAGTGTTTTGTGTTTAGTTTATTTTGAGCAGTCTTGTAAAAATGAGTGAAATTAAAATGATCTTAAGTGAAAAGGGAAAGTCGTTACTTGTGTGGGATGATTATAAGTTTCGTGAAAAAAAGGTTCTTAAAAGTGGTGAAAAGTTTTGGACTTGTACTGTAAGTAAATGTAACGCAAAAGTATTTACGCTAGGTTCAGATAATATAATTTCTCGAAAAGAAACAGTGCACAATCATGAAAATGACATAAAGAAATTAAATAGACAAATTTTGAGTGTAGCAAGCAAACGGAAAGCTGTAGAAGATATCACAGAACGGCCATCGAAAATTATACACTCTGTTTTAAGGGAAAACAGTGATACAATGGACGCTTTGACAAGAAAAGACATTACATACATAAGAAATAATATGTATTACAAAAGACGTCAAGTCCAAGCACGTTTACCAAGCAATGTATCAGATGTTTTCGATATTTTACCAACATTAAATTTGACAACAATTAAAAATGAACCATTTCTCTTGGCCACTGATAATATTAACAATATTGTAGTATTTTCGTGCTATACTAATTTAAAATTTTTGTGTAGTAGTGACAAAATGTATCTTGATGGAATATTTCGATATTGTACGAAACATTTTTTACAGTTGTTCACACTTCATATCGTAGAAAACGGCCATTATATACCAGTAGCTTTTTGTTTATTACCGAATAAACTTCGTTTAACATACGAAAGACTTTTCGTTATTCTTAAAGAAAAGTGTTGTAATGCTAATTTAATATTTGTTCCAAAAATTATTGTAGCTGATTATGAACTAGCTATTCACAAAGCAATTTCTGCGCAATGGCCCACCACAAAGATCATTGGATGTAGGTTTCATCTTGGCCAAGCTTGGTACAGAAAAATACAGAGTTTGGGATTGGCTAAAGAATACCAAGATGAAAAAAGTGCAACTGGAAAATGGATGAGGTATCTTTTTGGATTGTCTTTTTTAAAACCCGAAGAAGTTGGAGAATGTTTTGCTTTGGATTTGGCTGAATTTCAGCCCGATCATATGCATAAAGCTGTGGTAAATTTAGCTGACTATTTAGTAAAGAATTATATTGAAGAAAATTCTTTATTTCCACCAACAATTTGGGCTGAAGCTGTTGTAACTACAGAAAATTCTACCAATGCATGCGAGTCCTTTCATTCTAGATTTAATTCAAATTTCTATTCAATGCACCCTTCATTGTATTTATTTGTAAATGTTTTGAACAATTTTCAAACAGATACTTATATTCGTATTAACAGCCTTAAGGAGTCTGTTAAATGTAACAACAAAATTGTTAGACGAAGATTAAATATGTTAACTTCAAAAATGTTAGAATATAAAAATGGTTCTATAAAACGAATAGATTTTGTAAAATTCGCATCAAATTATCATAAAGTGTATTAAATGTAAATAATATGTATATGTTTAAAAAATTAATTATAAATTGTAAATTGTGCAATAAATATCTATTTTTATCTGAATTCGTACTTTTATTCAAATTTTGCAAATCCATCAGAAGACAAATAATAATATTATAAATGGGTATAGTGATAAGATACTTCAATTATTGAGAAGTTTGTTCCTCAATTCGTGTCATATTTCCAGGTACAAAAATCTCTCTCAGTAATCTAGTTAACGCAATGAACCCTCATTACCACCTTAATCCCTAATCCTTAGTACGGTCCGCAATTCGGTGCACTTATTTGGTCTGTGCAGGTAGTGGTCCTCAATTCGAGAACACCGTTGAGATGAGTGCAATCACAATGTAGTTTAAGAGATAATTTTCACATTAACACTTATTTACCACAGCACAAACGCATGTACCTATTCATGTAACATTAAAATAAAGTGGAAACAAATTGCATAATTTGGTATATAAAAAAGTACAAAATGTTTTTAGTTTTAGTTCGACTCGACATTGGACTACGAGGAAAACAGTGGTTCATTCCACTTGTACCATATTGACATTATTATGCACGATGCTCGTTCAAACGAACGTCAGAAAAGTGTTGCCAACTTAAGCTGACTACTATTTCCCCCCTAGCCTCAGTCACCCCCTCATACATTTACTGGGTCTATGTCACGACCCCCTTAGATATACCAGCCCTGTTGGTGGGTTACTTGGGGTTGGAATAGACAACGTGCGCGATGTACAATGTTAAATCTCCGGTCTCTTTTATCTAAGGTAATGACACATCAAACAGGTCAGAGTTATATTGGAAAGTCCCATGACAGAGAAACTTCCGATTTAACGACTTTTGAGACGACATTGTGTAATTGTTGTAACTATTACAGTGATTATATGTATCTATATTTTATTACAAAAAATTTTAGCGTGGAGTGAAAAGTATTCTTAATAAGACAATTTAGAGACGTTCTTCTTTATCAAAATAGATACTAGCTCACTATACAGATATTGAACCAATTTATAATAATGCGACGTTGTTGTTTTCAAAGAGTTAGTTAACTTCGTTTCAGGTGTGGATGTGAAGAATGTATTAGACAATCAGAAGAAGATTCTCTTCGTCATTCGTTGTCAAGGTTAAACGAATATAAAGCTCTTGCGAGTCCGTCCCTTATTGCGCTTTCGTCCAGCGATCCCCTTTTGACAGCCTTCCAGTTATCTTGGGAATTGCGAAATCTAGCGTTTGCAGAACCAGTAAGTTGAAATTTGTTTAATTTGATTACGCTGCTTTTTGGCATCTCAATTTATTTTAACTTAACTTTTACAATAACAATACAATTGATAACAATAGAGAGTTATTGCAAGTTCACTTAAGGTCAGTCACTATTAATGCCGCTGTTATTTTGACATATGAGCATGCGTAGATCACTTACATTCTACAACTGACTTTAATAAAGATTGTGCCTGTCCTTAATTGTGGATGTTTAAGGACAGCAGTTTGTGGCGACTGTATAGCTTTAATATTTAATATTAACATCGTCTAGATCGCCTAAAATTGCTATTTCTACCTCTTCCATATTATGTACTATTATAGACAACAAAAATTAACTATAATTTAATATTTTTAAAATGAGGTTAGAAATAAGGACAATGATTCTAATGTCAAAATTTTAAGGTTCGCAATAAGTCTGATTTTAGCATGGAATTTATTTGACTCTAATTACGCTGTCACTATTAGTGGCTGACGTTATAGAAATTTGCAATAACTCTCTATTAACGTATTCGCTCCGTGCGAAGTCATGGAAAGGGAAGCAAAAGCGATACTAGCGCTAGCTGCGGATAACAAATACACGTATACATTTTACTTTTTTTCAAAAAAGTAGGTAACAACAATACAATAAGCAACCGAAGTTGCTGTGTTGAAAATTGTACAAATAATAGCAAAAAAAAAAACAGTGAAACTTGTATAAAAAATTTCAATAGCAAAGTGGAAATTAAATCAAAGAAATAAATGGATAGGTTAAAATAAGAAGAAAAGTTACCTTTATTTTTGTAATAATAACAGTAATGCTGGAAATAAAAGACATCAGAAACTTAAAAGGTTTTAAATAAACAATAAATTATCATTTTACTATGTTCTTTAATATCCCTTTATTATTAAATGTTCATTTAGTAAGTACTAGATTTCAATATTTCTGCCTTTGATTATTATACGTGGCTGGAATACAATTTTGTGACTAACTGATGGAAAACCAGTTTTAATCATTCATACATACATACATTTTTTTATTTTGACAGAATATGCCAATTCTTTAATGACAACTTATTAGACTTAGGGAACTTCTCATACATTTTCCAGTAAATACTGTTGCCTGCCTATATTTTATTATTGATTTTTATTGATTATACATAATTTTCTTTAACTTAAGCGATAAAAGTATATAATAATAATAATAAAAAATTAATGTTTTACTTGTTTTATAAATCCATATACTTTTATTAAAACCAACATATATACTTTTTAATTACGAATTCTATTAAAAATTGTATTTGTCAGTATACTCCATAGCCCTCAGAAAGTCTAGATACCGCTTGGCGTATACTGTCAATACAAAAAAATGACCCCATTCAAGCTTGTCGCCATGTTAGGTAAATTTATGTTTTGGCTACACTGATTTTTAGTTTGTGTGTTCTGTAATACGTGAACACCGATAATCTGCACTTTGTTATTAGTTATAAGTGAGTGAGACGCACAATTTCTAATTTCAAATTAAGAACAAAACTTTGACAAACCTATTTGATTTTCCTAGATCTATTCAGACAGGACCGGTTTTATAAAATTTCTCGTTCTTGAAATGTTATTTTTACATGGTTATATATTATTGGATAAGTGGTTTGTGTACATATTGCTATGAGAATTATAGAGAAATTCAGTGAGATTTATATAATATAATTCAAACTACAAGTAAACCATCTGTTCCTGTTTGGCAATATGGAGAAAATACCTACTTCAATGTCAAATGTACTATTTAAAAGAATGTGATTGTTAACCGGTCATTTATTTATATTATATTATGAAAATAAAAACTCGAATTTTTTAACTAGAGAAAGATATACTTACATCGGTAACAAGGTATTTTTAGAACAACTAATAGATTACTCCTATTCCTATAGTTTATTTGAAAATGAATAATAGCAAAATTATATAAAAATATGGACCTTTGCCATAAAAACTGTGCTACCAAGCATTTTCAAATAAACTATGATAATTTGATTTAATAGAGCGAGTATAAGATCTCACCTGTTAGAGAAATTGGGGCATAGGGAAGAGATTATGAAGCAGGTAAGCAAAGTCATTGCAAAAGATAAATATATAGAAGTTATTTTAAAAATTTGATAAAAAACTAGTGGAACAACAAATGGAGTTGTCGCTATCGGAGATCCAATCAGCAGAAAGTAAAAAAAAAAACTTTGGGAATGTTGGAAAAGGGCACAGCAATAGGCCCAAAACAATTCCTTGATTTTTTAATAAATATAATCTGAGATGCAAAAAATACTGCTAGAGTGGAGAAGCAGTATTGTTCTAATGTAGAAAACCCAGGGACATACAGCAGTGCACTAACCATAGGCGAATAGTCACTAAATTATACAAGAGTCCCATCTCGATTTTATTTTTAAATATTTTTGAGAATACCTATTATTATTTGTTACATTGAGTTTAATAAAACCACAGATTTCGAATGTATTGAAAGTTATTTAAAAAGTACCTCTATAAATATATAGAAAATGTGTATATGACTAACTGGTTTTATTAATCTTTTTTTGGGGTAGGTAAATATATTTTGAAAAATTTACAAACTTCTTTTGAATAAAAGACAAAATATTTCTGTTTTTATTAACTGAACAATATTTTATACGAACATAATATATACCTATTTAAAAGAAAATATTACATTTTACAAGTATCGCATATTTATATGAAATAACTTACTCAATAAGAAAGAATTAAATGAAACAAATTATTAAACAATGGATATGAAAAATTGCTTTAACAATTTAATCCTTAGATAAACTTATTCTTACATATTGCTTTAATCAATTTATTTACTATAAAAGTATATTTCCTATCATTTATTACATATAATAAAATAAAGCATAAAACATACAAACTATAATATGTACCTACTTAGAACGAAACTAATATTATTGTATCAAGGTAGTAATAGTAGACATTTTCCGACTAAAAAAAAGTAAAAAAGAAGTAACGGTCGACACGTTTTTCTGACTATTGGTCTTCATCAGTACGGTGCAGCCAAGTTCAAAGGATCATGGAATTTGTGTTGGAAAAATTGTACAATAGGTCACTAACAAGGAGCCAATAACACATTTGCCGTTTCAGCTAGTATCCCCAAATTTTCTGGGCTTATACTAAAGTCACAAAATGATTCAATGGTCTTCCTATGGCTATCAGTTATTCTTTCCTAACATTTTTTGGTATGCTACAACAAAACATACAAATTATTTGATTTTGTAAATACACAAATATTTGTGAAAACTTACACATGAAATGTTATTCCTTCCTTGTATCTTCTACCGTTAGATGCATTGTTACATTCACGTACAAAACAAAAAGAGATTTTGAAAATCCTGTAAAAATTTAACACCAAACCACAAATGTTTTTTATTAAAATAAAACACTAAACGACTAAACTAAAAAATAATGTTTTAAATAAAACCTTTACTAGAAGAACAAAATAAACAACACAACAGATAATAAAATCGATCTTACGCTTATTACTAAACTTGCGCCGATTCTGCCTTGTCAGTAGTGCCAACTTAAAATTTATTGACGTTTATTTATCATGGCGCCCATCATATGGGGGGTCAAAATGTTTTTACGATGCGGTAACTAGACCTTCTGAGGGCTATGGTCACATACTTTGATTACTATACGGGGTAAGAGAGAGGTCCGACACGCCCAACATAGGGCGCGGCCATTTTGAACCCTATGACACAGTTTATAGCTAAAGAATCAGATCGCTCACTCTGCGTCGGCACTTTTTATCTCAATGTTCCAGTTTATACACTGCGCAACTCAGATAATACAATATATGATAACCGCCTATAATAAAACAGCAGTCTTCTGCGTATCCTGAATTTGTAACCCTGGAGTGGATGTTATTTTGGAACTTTCAACTGGTCCGAGTGAGCTAACTGATTCTTTAGCAATAAAATGTGGCTCCAAAAATAATATTCACTGCTGACAGCAGCAAGCAAAATATCAGGTGCGTTTTAATCATCCGCTTCTGCTTCCGGAATTGTCAATTCAGTCGTTTTAACCTGTAAGATTAAAACAAGAAAACCGACAATTCCGAAGCAGAAGCGGATGATTAAAACGCACCTAATAAAAATATTGCGCCAAGATGTAGGCAACACGTAATAAGGGTTCAAAATGGCGGAGTTTTCTATCTCCTTTTAAAAGGCACTCAGAAAGCTGCGCAGTGCGACCATTCTCCGTATAGTAAAAGAAAATCAAAGTATGTGGCTATGGTATACGCAGAAATAGTCCATTAGTACCAAAACAAAGTGGCGCTGCTATCGCGCACGGAGCGAATAACGTCTATCATAAAACTCCAAAGTTACGTCAGGATCATCGGCTTATATAGCTTGCTTGATCCTTCTCGAACCTTTTCGAACTACCTAGATTTTTCTTTTGACAAGTAATGACATTTTCAGACATTTCTGGACTATTTTATCTTCTTTTACTCGTACTTTTACTTATGATGACCGCAGGGCCACCGAGAGCCAGGTCGGGCCCCGGGACAATTCTCCAAGTCGGGCCCCGCGACAATTTTATAAAAAATTACACCCATTTCTAAACAAAATGGTTTTCCAGCAAAACCTTTCCCTCCCCTTTACTGAATCTCTATAAAAAAAGGTCTTCAAGCAAAAACTTCTCCTCTTTACTTGAATTTCTCTAAAATAAAGTCTTCAAGCCAAACCTCCTCCTCCTCCTCCTCCTCTTTACTGAATCCCTAAAAAAAGTTCCCCCCTCTTGTGCCGAACTGTTGAAGAAGTAAAAAACGTCCTCACCAAAATTGCCTTTCCCCCCTTATGCCGCCACCGGGCCCCCACTAGAGCCCCCTCTTGTCGGCCCTGGACGACCGCAGAATGCTGCAGGGTGCTGCGTACATTGCTCCCTCCTCTCTAGTTATTCGCCTCGAATAACTTGATTAATAGGACCTGGTTGAAGC